TGTAACGGTTGATATTATCATTTACTGAGAATTAGTGAAAATAATAATTATTTATTGACAAAAATTAAAGTTAAGATTTGGTATCGAATTTCAAAGTTTGATGTCAGTGTCAAACAATCCTGCCCAAAATTAGAAGAGAGGAAAATAATAAACTTATTTTATCATTCTTAAAAAATAATAAACTTTCAAAATAATAAACTTATTACAACAAAATAAAAAATAAAAGAAGAAATAAAACTAAACATATTAAAAACCTATAATACTTAAAAAAAAAGACTAAAAATAAAAAATAAATAAGTTTAAATCAAAAAGAACAAAATAAACTGATGAAAAAAAAAAAAAATAAATATTTTGAAAACTTATAACATTAGTAGAAAAAAATTAAAATAGTCTAGAGAAAAAAATAAATTGAAGACAAAAAAATAGAAGAAAAATAAAACTATATATATATATATATATATATATATATATATTATAACATTCTTTATCCTTACCAACTACCACAAAATCTGTCAGGGCATGTTTGGTGCATAGTATAGGATAATGCCTGATAGTATAAGACCGATAGTATAAAGTCTGATTGTATAAGACCTGATTGAATTTTTATACTATCCAGCGTTTGGTACGGTATTGTATAAAATAATATATTGTATAAGATAATATCATCTAGTATTTGGTAATGCACTGTATAATGTTATATAGGATAAAAACAAATTTTTTTAATAAAAATATCCTTTAATAAAGAATTTATATAATTCTTCAAAAAATTTTATATGATATTAATTTTTATAAAATTTTATTGATTAGTGTGTCCAAAACATAAATTAATTTTTATAAAAAAAATATTCTATTTTAAAAATTAATATATTGAAAAATTAATTTTTAAATCTTAATATTAAAATAAATATTAATTTTTGAGAATTGCACTAGTCAACGATGTTAATACACTAATCTCTTCTTATCAGGCCTTATCACTCCCCTTAGGCCGGATTAAGTTATACATCGTTTTGATGTATTAAGCGATTCTACTGTATAAGCTTATACTATACGATGGTCACACCAAACAACTGAAAATGTTGTAACGTATAGTATAGCTTATACTATCAGGCCTTATACGTCACACCAAATATGTCCTTAGGCTTTGTTTGGAAGTTTGGAGGGGAATGGAAGGAAGGGGATCCAACGGGAAAGGAAGGTGAAAAAATTGAAGGGTATTCCCTTTCATTGTTTGAGAGTTAAAAAAATGGTAAAAGAGAAAAATAAAAGATTAATGAGATATTTTTACCATTTTATCTAATTTTTAAGATTAATATATATTATATTTTACAAATTTAATTAAATTTAAAATTTCTAACAAAATTATTAATGTACTTTTCACAATATTAAAAAAGATCATATTTTAAACAAAAATTTTACATTACAAACGTTAAAAATTTCGTCACAATTTTTTTTTCGTCGGAATTTTTTTTTGCGAAAAGCGACGAAATTTTATCTCCGATAAAAAGTTTTACAAAAAAAAATTTTCATCGAAATTTAGTTTCGTCAACAGTTTTGTCGAAAATGATTTCCTCCATCAAATGTTTTAAACGAAAAAAGAATTCCGTAAAAAATTTTGACGAAATGTTTTTCGATCAAAATTACGATGGAAATATGTTCTAACAAAAAATTCGACTGAAATTGTTTTGTCAAAAGTTTTGAGGGAAATGTTTCATTCAAAACTTACGATGAAATATAGATTCTATAAAGAATTTTGACATAATATTTTTCCCGTCAAATTTTTTATCATAAATTTTTTTACTGAAATATTTTCCGTCAAATTTTTTTGACAGAAATATGTTCCGTTGAAAATTTTGATAGAAATATTTTTTATCGAAAATTCTCGAGGAAAATGTGTTTCGTTAAGAATTTAGACGAACTTTTTTTTTTGTCAAAAAGTTTAACGAAAATGTTTTCATCAAAAACTTGCGACGAAATTTGTAAAGAATTATAATGAAAATTTTCGATGAAAATGTGTTTCGTTGAAAATTTTGAGGAAAATATTTTTCGTCAAAAATTTCGATGAATATATTTTTTGTGAAATATTTTGAGGGAAATGTTTTGACAAAATTTAGATTATGTAAAGAATTTTGACAAAAAAATTTGTTGGACAGGTGGCTTCAATACTCAAGAGGGGGGGTGAATTGAGTTTTACAAAATCTTTTTGCAAAGTACCTCCTTTGATGTTTTAAAGACTATTTCTTCAATAAAGTGATTTAATAAGGAAATGTCTAATTGTAAAAGCAAGTGTAATGATCAACAAAGTAAGCAAGCGAATATATAAAGACAATCTAAGATGCAATTTTAATACTTAAATAAAGAGATTAAAGTTAGAGATATTACAAACTAGATGTATCCTGGTTCGGTCACCACCACCGTGACCTACGTCCAGCCTGAAGCCGTTCGATCAATTCTTTTCACTAACTATCAAGCTTGAGGGTGCTTGACAAACCACTACAACTTTTCAAGACTTCGGGCTCTTGATGCCTTACACTTTTTCACTCCAAATTTTCTTAGGAATTTGGTAACCTCTCAAATATAGGGTTCACTCCCCTCTCAAATCAAGAAGTAATATTGAGGTGATTAGAAGTGGCTAAGTACTCTCAAAGTACAAATTGAACAAATTGAAGAACTAAGAGATGTATAACTTCAAAGGAAATATGAGCTCAAGTGCATGCAATGATTAAAGTAAGTAATTAATGAGCAATAAAAGGCTAGCAAGAGTAATAAAGCTTCAATAAATGATCTAGGGTCGTGTCCTGTTCATCCCAGCTGATGTGGGTATTTATAATGACACCTCATATGAAAACTAGCCGTTTCTAGTCGTTTATAGCCGTTGTAATCCGTACATATCCGGATATTTGTCGGGCACATATCCGGATATTGTATATCTGGATATTCTTGGTTCCATATCCGGATATTGGATATCCGGATATTCAAAGTGGAATATCCGGATATTTCATAGCAGCAACCTTTTTGTACGAGTTCTGAGTTTCTACTCTTTCCAAATGATTTTTATGACGTGTAATGCATGTTGTTGGTTATGGAAATTATCTAGAAAAGTTTGTATCACATAGGTACTTCTTCCAAACCAATTTTGTACATATGAAACCATTTGTCTTGACTTTTCTTTTAAGGATGCATGCTTTTGAAATATATGATTGATGAATGACCTTGAGCTCATGCAATGCTTTGTATCTATACATCTTTACATATTTATCCTATGTCCTAAATGAGTATACCATTTGAGATTCTGGACTTGGATTGATGCTTGAGACTTGGTGCATGCTTTCACATTTGCTTTTGGATATTGCTTCGTCTTTGAATCATTCCCCTTTGTTATCATCAAAACCATGTTGTCGTGGAATAATCAAATATACGTTGTATCCACATCATCACTTTGATTCATCAAAATTTGCCATCAAAATTTTCTACGTAAATTTTTGAGTCACAAATTTTGATAGAAATATTTTTCGTCGAAATTTTTTGCGAAATTTTTTGATGGAAATGTTTTCCATAAAAAAATTTGACGTAATTGTTTTACGTCGAAACTTTTCGATGGAAATGTGTTTCGTCAAAATTTTGGACGAAAATATTTTCGTTAAGATTTTCAACAGAATTTAGATTCTATCAATAACTTTGACTGAATATTTTTTCGTAAAAAATTTATATCAGTGATTATGGCAAAATCTGGTTCTGTCTCTAATTTTGTCTTTAGTTTCGACGTAAATTTTTTGACGTATATGATTTTCATCAAAAAATTCATCACTATTTTTGACGAAATATTTTTCGTCGATAAATTCTGTCAGTATTTGACACTTTTCTAATAACGTCACATTTAAAAATGAATCACATTTATGTGATTTTCACATTTTAATACTAAGAGTAGATAAGTAATTTTTAATATTTTTCCCCTCAAATCCCCCAAACCAAGGGAACTTTAATTTTAAGAAAAATGAAGATTTTAAAGGATTTAATAAAAATCTTCAATTTTTTTCCCTCATTTTTTCAAATTTACGGACAAAAAAACAAACTTACTAAAACCCTCCTTTTTGTTTCATACCTACCCACGTATGGATCTATGGGCTATGGCAATTTTCACCCTTCCTTAGTGCTGAACATCTGTATCCACTTTCCTCATTATAGAAAGTTTTTTTTTTTTTTAGTAAAAAGAAAGAAAGTTCCTTTCATTATAATATCATCATCATATTCAAAAACTCACTTTTTTTTTCTAACCTTTCTTTAATCGTTCATTACTTCATTTGATCAATCCACAAATTCCTCACCGTCCATTTTTAGAAGGCCCCACAAAGTGAAAGCCAATCCCGTCCAAGTCCCAACCCCTCCTCACGTGCTAAAGCCACATGTCACGTGACCCCACTAAAAAAAAAAATCCTTTTAGTGAGTTCTAAATTATCTCAATTGATATTATTGCTTCAATAATATTTGGAAACTTTTAGATGACCCGGTTAGGAAAAAGTTTATTTTTTGTGTGTTTTATTTTATATCATATCAGCTTTATCATTAAAATATCAACAAAGTGATACTTTTAAAATAATTCAATAAATAAATTTATAAGACACACAAAGAAAACAAGGGGTTCAAAGTTCAAACCCCACATGGCCCTTCCCAATAATGGTAAAGTAAGATATAATAATAGGCCACATTGCTTGTTCCCAGAAAAACTTTAAATTTCTTAATAATATTTACCTGCTCTCTGTTCATTGGTTCATACTAACAAACAATTAACACAGGCTGCACCTTCGGCTTTAATGTTCTTCAAACTGACAAAATTTTCCGGGAAAATAAAACAGAAAAAATATTTATTTATTTTTTCTTCTAAAAACAAGGGAAAGAAAAACAACTAAACAAGAACATAAGCTAGGGCTGGTCCTTATCCAACTCAAATAAAAACAGCACAGTCCTTGTGGTTTGTGTATGTGTTTTAAGACAGAAGACCATGTTTTAGCACGTGGCTTCTCAATCTCATTGCCTCTCAGACTTTTCTACTGAACCCTCCACTACACTTCCTTGCTTAGTTGCTTCCTTCTTTTTCTTCTTCTTCCTTCTGGGTTATGGTGCTGCAGCTCTGAAGAGAGAGAGAGAGAGAGAGAGAGAGAGAGGTTATTTTAACTCTTCAATGAAAGGGGAAGTGAAGATGAAGTCCAAGATGAAATGGGTTGGTCTGGTTGGGCTTGTGCTATCAGCTTTCTCTATCTTCATACACTTTCTTCTTGCTAGATTCACACAAATGGGCGTTGCAGACTATGAGTCCTCAGTCACAATCTTCTCTTGGAGACCCATCTTTGAGAAGCCATATTTTCCCACAAATGTAATGTTCTATTATCATATCTCACTCAAAGATCTCAACTTTTTTCCACTTTTTTTTTTTTTTTTTTTTGGGTTATGTATTAAACTTCTTCAAGTCCAGATTTTTCTTTACATTGCTTTGGCAATCCCTTTGTTCTAGGGAGATTCATGGTTCAGAATTTTGGCTTTGTACTCCAGAAAATGACAAAGATGTTGCATTCATTGTCATTTTCCTCATGTGGGTCTTAATCAGATGCTGTGTTTTTGTTTATTTCTTTGTTCCTTGGCTTGGATCAGTCGGTTCGTACATTTAACTGAATTTGGATTACAATGTGTCTCCTAAGTATTTGGAGTCATAAGCTGATTGGCTTTTAGACTTTGTTTTCGTCTGTGTATTTTTTGTTTTTCATCTTTTTATTTGAATTTTGTTGTGTATCCATTTTAAAACTTTACCTGTTATTTGTGCTGCAGAGTCCCTCGTATAGAAGACTATGGGGTCCGGTAAAGCCTCTTGAATCCTTGTATCCTGACTCAAATCCCCGAGGATATTATGCTGGTCAGTTAACCATTTCATCTTGGTGCTAAACATTCTACTGCTTCAAACTGAGGAGGATTTTATGCTGGTCCATGAAAATGATTTATCAGCTGACCAAACTTGTGAATTATTTTTTTTATTTTGTTTATTTGTTTGCTTTTGTTGTTTTCTGTTAATTGTTCTTTATTGCCAAAGTGAGTTGAGTATACTATTATAATCAGAATATTAGGAAGAATTAATATTTTGTAGCTTCTTTTATACTACTATAAAAAAATGAACTTAGGATTATCAGGTTATGATGCTTTCTATATGAAGGCTTCTATATATGTAAGCATGTGCAGTGCCTCTATCTTGTGTGTAAGCGTATGATAGTGTGTGACTATGACTCTATATCCCTTCTGTGTACTGCTCCTTCTTGGCAACATGATCGTGTGTGACTAGGTCTCTAATTCCCTTCTGTGTAATGCTCCTTCTTGACACTTAATTGTCACACTATCTTTCACCTATGAAACAAAGCACGATGGTTGATTTCTGAATATGTATACCATCCTAATTCTTATAAGAGTTTTACTGCTTATTTCTGACTTGATCATTGCTAGGCAAATATACCACCTAGAATAGAATGCTTCTTTGAGAATATGAAATATCAAATAATTTGAAGGGTGCTGTGGAGTCTGGACTTTCATTTGTGTATCTCCATAATGTTGTCTATGTGAAAGTTTGACCAGTATGGTCATCGGTTGCCCTGATTTTATTTTGCCTCAACTCTGGCGTTCGTTTTTCATGTCATTTTCTGTGATGTTTTGTGTATACAATATATACCAGGATTGTCAGATTTTTGTTGCACATAAAGATTTCACTATGCAGATTATTGAATTGTTGGATCAGATATTTTGCTCACTATTCAGTATATGTATTTGTTCTTGTTTCTTGATTGATATTTTTGTATGTAAGATTTAGCTTATTTTAAATAATATTACCCTGGTTTTCATACTTTGGATTATATGCAAAACCAAACAAGGTCCTTGCGGGAGGGAAGAAGCTTGTATTTCTGTAGATTGCTGTTAATCCTTGTATATATATTCTCTCTGAAAGAAAAGATGTCTATCTTTACTCACAGATGCTGATTCACAAACAAATGGGTTTATCTTTGTCCGGATACAAGGTGGTTTCTATGAAATCAGGAATTCGGTGAGGGCATCATGTTTCAGGTTCTGTATGCTATTATATTTAGATCATATTGAACTGAAAGTGTATTATTATCTGGTTTTTTCAGATATGCGATGTGGTTGTGGTTTCTCGACTTCTTAATGCTACATTAGCAATGCCTGAAATCCTATCAACAACCAGCAGCAAGGGAATAAGGTTCCTTTTCTTCAAAGGAATTACAGAAGTTTACATTTAACTCAGTGTGATGTGCTCTAAATTATGTATTTAAACTATTTCTTTCAATAAATATCTTTATCCAGCTCTCAGTTCAAGAGTTTTGCATACCTATATAATGAGGAGCAATTTGTGCTCTCATTAGCAAAAGATGTCAAAGTTGTGAGAACTCTTCCAAAAAATCTAAAGGGTGCAAGGAGAAAGAAGGAGATTCCTGTGTTTAAAGTGCCAAATTCAGCATCACCTTTTTATTATTTGCATCATGTTCTCCCTATATTAAAGAAGCATTCAGTGGTTGAACTAGTTATTTCCGATGGTGGATGCTTGCAGGTAAAGACAGCCTGTGCTTCACCTGTTTTGATCTTAATTTTTCCTTACCGGAGTTCAAATTCAGAGGTTAATTTGTTCGACTTGTTTATTTTGTTTGAATGGAATTGACTAAGCTAAAATTCAATCGTCTAGTAAGCCCCCTTTCTTTTGCATTGTGATGATATAGATGCTAAACTTGATTGCAATGTAGTTGACTATTTTGTTCACTTTGCTAATGATTTTGAGATTAAATTTTGACCTACTTATTTGATCTCTGATACACCAGGTCTATTTTAGTGTTGGATATCCTATGATGGGATGAAGAACAATTTAGATGTGGGGCATAATTTGAGGAATTTTATTTTATTATTTATATTCTGAATTTTTGAATTGGTTTGGGGGGGTTGCTTGTGATAAGCTTACTCATTGATTACTGCATAGATGTTTACCATATTGAGGGATATATACATACGGCATAGACTATGCTCTCTTCCAAAAATCTTTCTCTCTTCTTTATCCAGTTCTTCAGCTTCCTGTCCTCTCTTTTCCTTTGTACTATTTCTCATCTCGTTCTACACCTGTAGGTTGTTTAAAATGGTTCTTACTTCTTATTGTGCCTTTATTCAATGCACCAATTAATTATTGTTTCTCTTTGCTTCTCCTCCCTTTTCTCCTTTCTTAGGCCATTCTTCCTCCCGATTTTGAAGAATATCAAAGGCTGAGATGTCGAGTTTCTTTTCATGCGCTTCAGTTCCGACAGGAAGTTCAGGAACTTTCTGCTAAGATTTTGCAGAGGCAAGAGGAACTTCATTTCACCTCTATCTTAAATTTGTTTGTTCTTCTCTTCCATACTTTCCCCCCCTTCTTTTGGTTTCTGTATAGTTCATGATACAATTGTAGGTTACGAGCTCCTGGTCATCCATTCATTGCCTTTGACCCTGGCATGACTAGAGAATCTTTAGCATATCATGGTTGTGCAGAACTGTTCCAGGTATATGATTCAATCTATGTTAACTGTCTCTTAAACCTACCAGCTTTTCTTATCTGAGCTGTAATGTCCTTACATTCTTTGCTAGGATGTGCATACCGAGCTCATTCAACACAAAAGATCTTGGATGATAAAACGTGGGATTGTCAAGGGGAAGCTTTCAGTCAACTCAGCTGAAGCAAGACTGAATGGATCCTGTCCTTTAATGCCTGAGGAGGTGAGAGTGTTTGTTTTGAACTTTAGGCAAGTCAAATTGTTCATTGTCAATGAGTTGGTTGCATAGACTCTCCAAACTTTGGTCATTAACAGTTGTTGCAATTTTATACTAAAGCTTATTCTATGATCCACATTTTTTATCTCTTGCAGATTGGTATTCTTCTGCGTGCCTATGGATACTCAAGAGATGCAGTTATATATGTGTCTGGGGGAGAAGTCTTTGGTGGTCAAAGAACTTTGATTCCCCTTCATGCTATGTTTGAAAATGTTGTTGATAGAACTTCTCTTAGCATTCCTTGGGAGCTTATTAGGCTTTATGGGCAAGAGATTAACCTTGTTAATACTCCTCACGGGCCACCACCTTTCGTTGAAGAAGTAACAAAGCTTGCAACTTGGAAGAATGCAGGTCCACGTCCTCGCCCACTTCCTCCACCTCCAGCAAGGCCCAAATCATATAACATAGAGGGTTGGTGGGGTTGGGTAGCTGAGAGTGATAATGAGCCTGATAGCACAATCATGGAACTAAGGACCAATGCCCATAAATTACTATGGGAGGCTATTGACTATATGATCTGTGTTGAAGCTGATGTATTCATCCCTGGATTTGACCGTGACGGAAAGGGGCATCCAAATTTTGCTAGCTTGGTGATGGGGCACAGGCTATACCAGTCAGCTGCATCAAAGACATTTAGACCCTACAGGTAAATACCTCTATTTGGATATATGTGCCTATGAATGTTTTCAATGCATTTTTGCTCTGGAAATAACTTTGAAACACCATACAGAATGTTTTTATCAGTCAGGTTAGATATGAAATGCTCGTAAGTTTCATAATCTCATTTATCTTATCAATTCAGTAAGTGGAATATAACACAGAAGCTTTCAGGTGTTTCCTAATAAAACCTGAACATAATGTTTCTTGTCAACTATGCCATTAAAAATCCAAGACAACATCAAGCAATGCATCAGAGCATGATGATTAGGAAGCTTTGGTAAATTCATAAATAATTATAAAACAAAACTTAAGGAAGTGCTATTTTAAACTTGAAGAAGATTTGCAATTTTAATTCCTTGCAATCATTTTTTTTTGCTGATGCAGAAAGGAAGCTGCTAAACTCGTAGATGAGATTCGTGACAACATGTATCGGGCAAATCATACTTGGCTAAAATCAGTTCGCAGGCATTTGAGAAAAACATTACTTGATGGAATCATTGAAGCATCAAATAATTCAAAACCATTATCCTTTCTCTCTCATCCAGTCCCTGAATGTTCTTGCTGGAGGCGTGACCCCTTTGAGGTATCAAAGAATTCTTCTAGTCCTTCAACTTCCCAAGCTTGGACAGCTCTTGGTAGTGCTCACAGGTGTCCTGCATGGATGGACACTGGTACATTTTCTGAATTAAAAGATAAGGAAAATGAAGAAGAGGTAGATGAGGATAATTCTGTATCTGGGTTGTTCTTTGGACAAAGTGTTGGAAATCATGAAGTTGATGGAGAAGTAAACAACACTAAAGAAGATAATCAATTTGAGGATCAAGAAGAGCTTGAGGGTGGGGAAAGATGACATCAAGATAATATGATGGTACATCTGACAATTGATAATGGATTCTCATTCTCCACATTCATGTACATAATTGAATGTTGCTTCCAATTCCAACTGTTGCTTACTGGGTCCAAATGTGTCTCTGGTAACTTCGTGATTCACGAAACCTATTTACTAGTCGAGATTCATCTGTATAACATTAGTGCCTTTAGGTTCAAGTCCTCAAATATAGTATACTAGCTAATTTATAGACTCCATATCAGTTTTGATGTAATCTAGCATGATCTTTGTAGTTAATATTAGGTTTAAGTTCAGCTTGAATTCTTTGCGGGGAAAATATCCTATTTATCACTGGTGAACATACTCATAATATGTATTTGACTGATGTAGCATTGGAAATAACTCAACTTCATTTTTGTACCTGATGAGAGAAGTAATTCCCCCATTTTATTTAGGGGTTTACACTTCTCATGTGACATAAAAAAAAATCCTGTACACATGGAAAATAGTGACAGCAATTTTTCTGCTACCTTTTCTTTTATGCATGCATGTGGGAAACTAGGAATAATGCTTATTTCTAGTGTTTCATAATGAACATAGGTTCTACCAAAATTTGTAACTAGGCTGTTGCATTACATATTATCTTGTTTGACACGTAATGCATTTCGTTTAATACAGTGAAAATGTTCAATTTAATATGCACTGTCATATTTGCTGATATTATATACTATCTACTGTTTTCTCTTGCTTGGGTTTGACACATCAAATCTGTAAGTTTGGCTTAGATTTTGGTAGAATTGAGATCCAAAAAATTGATTTTGTAAACATTGATGTACGAAATTAATGTAATTCGAAATGATATTCTAAAAGTGAGTGAAATAATTAATTTTGGTTGAAAAGTAGAGTAATTTTTTTATATAAATATTATGTTTTTAAAAATCTTAAGAATTTCACACCTAGTATTAATTTTACTAATATATTTCAAATTTTTACTTCTCTCAAATAATTTTACCTATCCCAAAGTTGATTTTGAGAAAGTTAAAAGTTAAACAAACACATGTTACTGTTCAAATTGATTTTAGTGACCGCTAATGACAGACGCTTAGTCGAACTTAAGGGATCATTTGGTAGGGATAAATTCTAGATTATCAGGAAACTTATATTGGAAACCAAGTTACTCATATTTAGTAAAAGGATTCTAAAAATTTTCGATTCCTGAAAATTAAAATTGTAAATAAGAATCTTATGAAATAATATCACTAGATTGGTAGTATTTTTGGATTTTCACCTGACGGAAATTTTTCACATAATTTATAGGAAAAAAATAACACTGCTTTAATATTTTCATGACTAATCTTGTTAAAGTCCTAGTTGTGATACTCTCCTTCACAAAATCATGGGTCCATCTCTCCCCTTTCACGACGTCTTTACTGGGTTCCTCTCTACTTCACGCCGCTTCGCTTCGGTGATCCCAACGCCACAATCCTCCGATTCTGATATTAAATCGATGACCACGATCTCTGCTTCACGCCGCTTCCCTTTCACGTTGGGGGTTGAGAATGGTTTGAGGCACTAGCGGACCTAGGTTGGTGCAAGTGACTGCACTTGCTGTCATGAACTTTTGAAAACAAATAATGATATTTGAAATCATCGAACTACAATTATAGCTTCTCCTTGTGGTCCTTTTTGTTTAGGATTGTGCACAGTGAATTTCCATTTGCAATTTATATAATTTGTGGTTAATTAGACTTGAGCGGACCTACCTCAAGCTCACTCTGAAGTGAGAATCAACTTGAAGTTATAGATTCTATAATATGCAAAACATGTCAAAGGACATATTTTATTTTTATTTTTTGCTTTTTTGCTTTTTCTTTCTTTGACTAACCTGAAATATGCAAACAAGAGAGAAGTTATTAAAGCATTTTATAATTAATTACAAATAAATACTTAAATGCTAACAACATTTGAATATAATGATAAAAAAATAATACTTTTGTAAAAAATTGACAGCTTGGACTTTAAAAGATATAATCGTTAGAAAAATTATATTAATCGCAAAATATTCAAATAATTAGTATATAAAAATATCTGATAAATAAATAGTAATATCTTTTCAATTAATAAATATATAGTTGCATGTAATGTAATAGCTTAGTTGACTCTTGATTACTATTTTTTTATGTTAAAATGAAGTTTTCTTTTCTTTTCTTGTTTTTTAATGCATTTAAAACTTTATTTAAAAAAAATTCGAAGGCACAACCCCCGAAACCCCGCCACTAAATGTGTAGACATAAATAAATTTTTTTGGATCCGCCACTAATTTGGGGGTTGAGAATGATTTGGGGTTGCTTAAGTTCGAGAATGAAACTGGCTAGAGAACGGTCAAATTCGTTTGGGAAATTTGAGTTTGATCTCCAATGCCGCATTTTGACCCCTTTTGTGGCATATCAATTTTTTTTTTTTTTCAATAATTCATCAAATGTTAGTTTTGTAAAATCAGCTCAATCATTGACAATCAACCAAATGTAGAATCAATAAACTTGAGCCCACGTTCTTGAAAATATTTTGACTTACCAAATAGCTTTATGATAATGTTCATGAGAAATTCATTTTCCCAGCATATTTCCAAGAATCGTGATTATAAGGAACAATAAAATTTCTCCGACCATTGTTGTGCCTGTTGCGGCCTTCGTCGACTAAGACGTCATCCTTCTTTTCCCTGGTTACGACTCCCATGAAAGATTTAAGTGCTGATTTTGAGTAGCAGCTAACATTGAAGCCGTCAATGCCGCCATCATCGTCGAAGGCTACAAGGTTCCCTCGCCGGCCGAGGTTACGGTAATTTGGGTAAGAAAATCAAAGTTTGTGCTAATTATTTTCAAAGGCAAGTTGCTGAGCGGGACCTTGCACATTATGATGTTAGTAAACTATATTCAAAAGTTCATAATATTTTTTCTATTTATATTACAACGTTAGGATTCTTAATTAGCGTACTTTGATCTGGAAGATTAAATTAATATGGGAGAAAATAATGTGTTATTATTTTGGAATGCCTGAGAAATTGATTAAAGTTATTAGGTTTCCATCACCCCTAAGGTTAATTCAAAAAATGTCTTTAGAGCTATGATGAGTCAGTTAATCCAAATGCATTGAGAGACACTTTACTCTAGGAATACTTGTACACTAGTTAAATGATGTACATTACGTTGGGGATATATATTTGAAATTACATACCGTTACATCCCTAGAAATGTATGATTTAAGTCAAAATCAAAATAAGTCCATGCATGAGATTAATATTACTTTTACATATTGGTAAATCAAATCAATGCATTACACGTTAAAAAAGAAAAAGCAATATATATAATTTAAAAAAGGTATTTACAAAATAAAATAAGAAATTAAGATAAGAAATTGTAATTGGTAATTATATAGATTGACTTATTTTATATTGAACGGGTTCACCGTGAGGAACCTCCATTTTCTAAACTAATAATTTTGCTTTTTTCCCTTTTTGTCTCTTTATACTTGAAATTCATTTCTTTTTCTCTATACTGATATGGTCAGTTAAAATGCAATTATTAGTTTCTTTATTATATATAGTTTTAATATAAAAATCGTAAAAAAGTGGAACAAATTGATTGTTTTTTTAAAAAAAGAAGTTTGAAATGAATTGTGTATCTCACTTGTGTGTGACTTTCTATTTTAAGAAATTCAGCACAACAAATACGATTTCATGCTTTCAAATTAGGGTTTAATAAGAGTTATGTTGTAAGAAAAGTGATTGTGTTATGTTATAGAGATTCGTTTTACGTGCCAGAGTTTTTTTTTTTTTTTTGGTTTCAAAAATTGTGGGTTCCACAAAATGTTGTGTGTGTAGGAAAGTTGTTGTGGTCATGTTAAATTATAGATACAAAACCCTTCAAATTATATGATACTCATATTCAATGCATGTTAAGAGTTAAGACTCGGCTATTTGACTATTTTGCCCTTCATTAATTAATTAATAACTATTTTGCCCATGATTCGAAACTATCTACCAATCTGCCTCTCTTTAATCGACTAACTTGAATTTTTAATCGACTACATGGTTGTTGGAATATTTAATCGACTAAATCTCCCTACTTAATCGATTAAAAAATCATATGTTTTCCTTTGTTGTCTGTTGGGAGATTTAGTCGACTAAATAGGGAGATTTAGTCGATTAAATCTCCCAACAGCCATTTTTGCCTGTTTTGACCATTTAATCGACTAAAAATGCAAGGTAGTCGATTAAAGAGGGGCAGATTGGTAGATAGTTTTGAATCAGGGACAAAATAGTTATTAATTAATTAATAAGGGACAAAAGGGTGAAAAAGCCGTTAAGACTCTCTTCTCCTCACATTACAAATGTCTCACCTAACTTAGATAATATACATTGAATACAACTATAAAAACATTAAGAATAAAAAAATAAACTAACTATTATGAGTATTTTTAGGGATGGGCTAATTATTAGATAAATATCATTTTACATATCGGTTTGTTTTTTCTAAAGTTACTTTAGATAATTTTATCTAATGTTCATCGAAACGACGTCGTTTTGGAGCAGAAATCATGGTGTTTTTATAATTTTAATTTATTTCAAGGTTATAATAGTCTTTATCATTCTAATTTTTTAATTTTTCAACCCCAAAATAACATCGATTCGATGAACATTAGACAAAATTGTTTAAAGTAACATTACATACTTTTTTCCTTTATATATATAATAATAAACTATTATCACTAATCTTCTACTTGAGCTGATAGCAAGTTTCGAAACAAAGACAAAAATATATGATATTAATATTATTTTCACATAATACTAAATTAAACTAACTCATAATGCAGAAATATTTAGGTAAAATGAAATACATTACATTTAGAGGAAAAAGAGATGCAGTGTGTACGAAAGTCTAATAATATTATTTCTCAGCTAATAGGCTAAAAGAATAATGGTTATCAATTTTATCGTTTATGAGTAGAACATTCTTCTTTTGGTGATACTGCTGGAACAAATTCTGGATACAAAGTTTGTTTTGGGCTTTGCCCCTTTGAGGTAATAAAAAAAAAAATCTGGATACAAAAGCAATTATGTCAGTTCTGGTGAACATAGCCTCCAATAATCAGCATTGTTGCAAAAAATTATCCATTAAAAAAATATCAAAACCATTAATGAAAAATTCACAAGCATATGTAACATTTTATTTCAGAGTGTCCTAGTTTCAAAACCAGAATCATGAAAATATACATTTTATCTGGATCTAACCAGCATGACAAAAATGACCTGACTGACCCATCCAATTTCTCTCAGCTGATGAGCAAAAAAAAAAAAAAAAATTTAACAAAATGAACACTAGCTCGCTTCTCTTCTAAGCCTCTTCAGACTTTGCTCAGAATCCTCACTGCAGTAATCAACTCCTGAACATGGAATTGCTTTATTGCTCACAAATTGGTTTTCATGACCCTGAACAAACAAACAATATTTGGTATTATAAAGATGACTTCAAAAAAGATTTTGATGCCATGTCAGGTCTGCATACTTAGAACATATAAACAAACTTTGTAGGCCAAAAAATGAAAAGAAAGTACAAACAAACCTTTGAGGGGGTCAACCCAGTATTTGCTCGTCTACCAACATCAATTTGCACCGAGACACTAGTCCGGGACAAATCCACACCGGAAGATTGCAGCGCTTGCGTCAGAGTATCTAATATTCTGTTAAAACACAAAAAATCCAATCAGTAATTCATATGTAGAGAATCCATCGTTCTTCGAGAAGACTGAATCTGATTCAATTCATATGAAATATAGTAACTAACTTAGCAGACTCAGCAGAGTCTAAGCTGTCTCTGACAGCTAACTATACCAACTAAAGCTAAGCATGACAGAAGAATAACTGAACAAGTATATATAGAAGAAGATATATGAAGCTATACTGTACACTAATACAGTAATCTCTGTCATGAACTAATCATCCTAAAAGTTTAAATTGTTCGGTCATACATGAATGGTTTTACATTATATTTCTAATACGCTCCTTCACATAAAGGCCCCGACTTGAAGTCCGGATAATGCAAGAGACCACCTACCTCATGCTGAAATTAAACATTTTATCAATAGAATGGGCGCAACAAGGATTGAACTACAGACGATTTGGTCATAAAGGCTTTCATATCATATCATAAACCAGTTTATCTCTAAAACTTAAATTGTTGAGCGATAATACATGAATGATTTTATATTATATTCTTTAAAAGGTCTTTGAAAAAGGTTGAGGCAGAAGAGCAAGAAATGAAGAAGCTCACACTATGACTCAAAAAAACTCATTACCTAATTTCCTTTTTTATTTAATTATTTTTTTTCTAAAAAAGCAGGGGATGGGGGGAATGGCTGTTCAGTTCAGTCCAACTGAAAAGTAGAATCATGATAACCTCCAAAAGAAGATGAAGACATTAGCATTTCCTTATGCACACACTGTTCACACTATCTAAATAGAGAAGTTTAATTTCAAGCATATAATTAACATGGAATCAGTGAAGAAAAACTTCTATGAACTTAAAAAAAAAAAAAAACTGACCCCTGAGAATAGGCACTTGAGATGCTCTCTGATCCACTTTCAATTGTCAGCTCCTCCTGTTCCTTCAATGTATTATCTGGAACAGTATAGTTTACCTTATCTGGTTTACTAAACCACATTTGAGGCTGGGTATGGGACGGCATGTCAGCATTAGATACAGGTTCCTGCAGATGTTGGGTTACCATACCACTGCTAACTACTGGGTCAAACATGTCCAATCGCATTTGCATGGTCAGGGGAACTGCTTCTGTAGCTGAACCAGGTATGGTGCCCTTCTGAATAGTTGTTGTGGAGAAGTCAGACTCTAATGGGTTCTGTACATTTTTTATTAATGATGGAGAGACATCATTATTTTTCTCATGAACAGACCCATTTTGTATAGCTTGAGAAGGATCTGTGTTATTTTCAGCAAGCCCATGATGATTCCTCTGATAAAAACAATAAAATTTAGATAGACAGCCATTGTTACTATTCCTAGGCAATAAGTCACAACCAACCATTGAGAAAAATATATCACTGAAGTTGCTACAATACAATCCCTGAACTCATTCAAATATGCATACTGGGCTACTGTACTGGCACTGGAAGAAAAAGAATATTGTAATTTAAAAAAAACAAACAAAAAAACCCTGCAGGCAGGCACATGAATTTGAAGAAACAGCATAAGACCATAAGATGGTAAAATCCTATGCATGAAATGAACTTAAAATTTTGTATGGGAAATTTTAGGCAGTTGGTACCATGAATACATGAAATATGATCAAGTACATCGGTGTCCTAGAATCCATGTAGGCAAATCTACTTAGTGGGAAAAAGGCATGGTGGTTGGTTTTGTTTCTTTTCCAGTCTGTATAAAAATGAATCCTCATACAATTAGACAATCACAAGTTCGACAATGCTATGGAACTTTGCATCTGTCTCCCAAGTTCAGTGAACCGAATAGCACCAGGTCAAATCAGAGTGCCATTTAAAGATCCAATTGTAAATGAGGTTGCATAAAACGTCTGCATATAGACTCAATCACCTTCTTGCATAAAGTATCATGGCACATTAATGAAAGGTGTATTGAATACCAACATTCATATGAATGCAGACTTAAATAGTCATGCATTGCACAACATTTCATAAATCAAGGTGCAAATAAAACATAGACACTCAGGAATATGCACGCATGACACCATTCCAAATAACTTTACCCATGGAATCAATTTCGTTGGCTCCTGATTCCACCCTTCATAAGACTGTTCATAAATTTGTAATTTTTCTTGCAGGAACTGAATATACTCAATAACCTGCACATAAAAAGAAGAAGAAAAAAAATCAAATTTCTTAATTTAGTATACAAGAATATAAATAATCTTCAAGATGTGCACAACAAACAAATTATTGAATGAAGTACCTCCAACAAGAAGGAGGCCTTATCTCTTTTTTGATCATTTTGAGGTATGATATCTCTCAGAATCTGAAATCTGGCTCACAAATATAATTCTTAATATTATTAAATATTAATATAAGAATTACAGCAAATTTTCACTCAAATTCTATATAAAAACAATTAAATATAATAAAAAAAAAGCAATTTTTTTGAAAAGAGATAGAGAGAGAGAGAAGAAAGCTTGCCTTTCGTTAATCTTGCTCCTTCTACGTTGCTCAGTCTCTGAATGCTTTGAACGATGTGGGTTCCCCCTCTTCCCCCTGCTAGGTTCATCCACCTTCACTGCCAAGTCACAACGTAATATTAATATTTTAAATTGAATTTGAATTGCAGCATGCACTTCAAGTGAAAAAAAGAGAAGAAATTTGAGACACCCATCAATTAATCAAACGTGAAATCCTTTAGGGTGTTGCACAATCAAACCACTAAGACAGAGAGACAGAGAGAGAGAGAGAGAGAGAAACCTTTGTTGAGTGAGGAAGAGCTGTTTCCAGTTAAGAGCTCTTCGTCGTCGTCGTCGTCCCCCAATTCTTCTTGATGCCCTTTTGCAGACCTAGCCATCTCCTTCTCCAGATGCAAAAATTTTCCCGAGAAAATCCAAACAGAAAGAAAATGCAAAAGGAAACGAGCAGTGTGTGCTTAGTAATGTTCTCACCCTAGTACTTCCAAGCACAATGCCAACAGCATTCATTGCCTTGTTAAAAATTAAAATTTTTTCTTTATCAAATTAATAGAATCTAAATATATATTGGTTAAACTTAATAGGAGATACAAAACCCTAACTAAACTGATAAACTTTGATACAATAATTTATTAATATATGACTTATAAAAATATATAATATATTAGTTAAGTTTAGTTTTTTTTTTTTTAGTAATTTTTTGGTTTATTTTAGTTGTTATTTTAAAAAAATAAGAATCAATCAAAGATTAGTTTTCTTTAACTTACCCGTTGTATGAGAGAAAAAATAAATATTTTAAGGATTTCAACAAAAATGTTTTTGCTTATAATACATTTTTTTCGAAGGCCCCGAAGAAAACTACACAAATCCAAAATTTATTAATTTTATGGGGGTTTTATAAGAGTTATGTTGTAGGAAAAGTGATTGTGAAATGTTATAGAGATTCGTTTTGCGTGCTTTAATTTTTTTTTTTTGCTTTAAAAAGTGTAATCCCATAAAATATTGTGTGTAAGAAATTTTTTTATATCATGTGACATAATAGATAGAAATCCTGTTTTATTGAAGGAGACCAAATTAGTTTGGTCATGAAAACTATGTCATTTCTCCACAATATGGGGTGACATGAGGTTATAACCGATTGGAGGCACAAGGTTCAAACTTGAGACTATTAGGATAGCCAGCATATTTCCCTAATTACAAGCTTATCCCTTGAGTTAATGTACATTCTTAATTTTATTATAATAATTTTCTTAAGAGTTAATTATTATTTTCTACAAACTCATTTGTGCACGTGGAATTCACCTTTAAGAAGAAAAAAAGAGACAAAAAATAGAGTGAGATTCATCTTGAATGTGTGTGTAGGGGATATATTCTTTTTTATGTATCATAAGAATAATAAATCTCTAATTTTATATGTGGATTAGGATCACTTCACAAATAGAGTACACCAAAATTTTATAATATGTAGGAAAAAGTTCAAAAATTCCTGTATTGCTTTGAATTACTTGTATTCGTATATTTTTTTTAATCACTTAATCTGCTGTGATTTTTTTTCCATCTACACCTCTCTTTAACACTATTAGAAAATTAACTAACTATACCTATACTACCTTTTTTAGAAGAAGAAAATAAAGCGATAAAAAAAGACCAAATATTTTGAAAACTTAGAAAAGATTAAAAGAAAAAATAGTAAAAAAAATCAAACATACCAAAATAAAAAAAATAGAATAAGAACAAACAAAATAGAAGAAAAAACAATACCAAAAATATTAAAATTTACAACAATGACATAAAAGACTAAAAATAAAATGAAAATGAAAATATTCCAAATGAAAAAATATACCGAAGATAAAAAAATTAGAAGAAAAATAAGATTAAAATAAAAAAGAAATCGCTAATGAGTTTTTAATATATTTAGTTTTATTATTTATTTATTTTGTCCTTGGTTAATTTTTTTTATTTAGATATGTTTGGTCTTTTTTCTATTTTTTTTATCTATTTTATTCTAATTTTTTCCTTGATTCTTTTTTTAGCCTTATGCCACCCCATCTATTAAAGATTTTCATAAAAAAAAAGTAAAAAAGTAAAATAGATATATAAAAAAGACCAATCATATCTAAATAAAAAGAATAAATAGACCAAGGAGAAAAATAAAAAATTAAAAGCAAATATATTATAGATTCATAACTCTGATTTCTTTTTGTTCTATTTCTTTTTTATTTTATTTTTATCTTAATTTTTTCTTCTATTTTCTTTTTGTCTTGAATACATTTTTTTCATTTATACTATTTTTATTTTTATTTTAATATTTTCTGTCACTGTTGCGATTTTTGTATATTTGATCTTATTTTTTCTTCTATTTTTTATTTATTTAGACACATAACACATTTAATTTTTTTTTACTTTTTTTAGTCTTTTATTAAGTGTTATAAGTTTTCATAATATTTGATCTTTTTTTTTTCTTTATCATTTTATTTTTTTCTTTTAAGAAGGGTAGAATAAATAAGTATACTTATTCTAAGAGTGTTAAGGATTGATGTGAATGAAAAAAATCACAGAGAATTAAATGATTAAAAAAAACACAGTGGGGTAAATTATTCAAAGAAAAATGGCATGAATTTTTTTTGAACTTTTCCCTGATAAATAACTTTTCTGTAGAATGAATTTTATTATAAAACTTGTTATTATGATATGTTAGATAATATAAAGCCATCTTAATGGTTGAAGTTGAGGGGACATAAGAACCCTGTAGTTCGTTCTTTGTTACACTGTAATCTTGCATCCAGAATTCCAGATGCAGTTTGTTTCTGACAGCAGCTAGCCAGTTAGTGTTATTCTATTCTAGTTTTTCCTGAATAACATGGGATGTTTGATGTGGGCTTACAAGTCCTTGGACTCTCCTCCTTATCCCTATCTAACTTCTCAATGGGTTCTCTCATAAAAACTTTGTAACATCAATTTACTAGAGAAGATTGCAAGTACTTTTTTCCTGTTGGTTCAAATTTGAAAGACTATATTATGTATGAAACTAGTTAAATAAAAAAGAACCAAATTAACAAACATTGAAACACCATAAAGGTCACCTAAAATAGAAAAGGAAATGATATTTGTACTTTAGGCACAAGTCGAATAAGTAACATAAATTATGGGGGAATTGTGGAGGCTATAAGTTCCCCCATTAAAATTAGAAATATCAGGAAAATATTTCTATAATAACTGTAGATAAATTATTTATATTCACTCATAAAATGACGTTATTTTGGAAGTGAAAGATTAAAAAATTATAATGATAAAGACTATTATAATTCTAAAATAAATTAAAATTATAAAAATACATTGATTTTCACCCGAAAACGATGTCACTTGGGCTCAATACAGATAACTTATCTGCATTTATTGCAGAAAAAATGAACCCTAGAAATATACACACTTAGATGATATTGAAAATATTACTAAATATGTGAATCAATTAATGCTGATTACTTAGGCTTAACTAATAATTGTGTTGACTCAAATCAAATTGGTTGAGTAATCAATAAATTGGTAAAAAAAATTAAAATTAAAAACAAGTGAAGTAAATGCAATTGAGTGAGTTATATAGTTTTAGGGAATTAATTTTCTCATTTTACATGAGAATATTTTCTTATATTACACACACAATATATAAGTAGGGTTCATAAAAAAATGAGAAAACAAAAAATCAAGATGAGTCCCATTTTTTAATTGTGAGAGTAACATGAGAAATTTGTCATGTAAAATAAGAAAACTATTTCTCATAGTTTTAATAGATATAATATCAAATTCTCAATATTAGAGGAGTAGTAAAAGTTTATCCCACTAAAATATCACAGCCTGTGAATGTTGCATGTGTACAAGGGTGTGTTGGACTTGTTCCATGAGAGATGATTACAAGTAGAAAGGGCCAAGCATTTATGCAGGAACAAATTTTGATTTGAGGAAAACATTAGGGCAAATAACCCAACAAATCACATAAAGAAAGACAAGAAAAATGCAATACTTTTGGAAGGTGGCGTCTTGGTGATGCTCTTTCCGAGAAATTCTAAGCCTTTTTGGATCACTAACTCAAACACTGTCCCCCAAATATGATTATCTGTTTAAATTTTGGGATCCGCGAATGATGATGGATTAAAATAAAATAAATGAAATCTCTCTTTATTTTAGTTAAAATTTGAGGTACTTATTGAGAATCGTAATCATTAAGCAAATATCCACTTTTTGCCATTATAATATAAAATTGCAGCTGAAGAATAAAACCTTGTCATGACAAAGTTGGAGATGAGTCACCCAAAATAAATAAATAAATAAATAAAATTATGAAATGCAAGCGTCGAGACTCATGCGTTCATTTTAGAATAGGTTCAAATTTGACTAGGCACTTAAAATTAGTCTTCTGAATTTATGAAGTACGGACATTTCAAAAATTCTGTCGTATCGTGTCCGTCATTTTTCGACACTCACCGATATTCTGACATTTCCCAACACTCCAATACTTGTTGCAAAGACTCAAAAAAGTTCAAAGTTATGTTGAGTTGCATTTTGAGTTCTAACTATTAGATTTGTTAGATTACAATTACGATTTTATTGAGTTTAAATTAAAAATATTATATAATATCAAAACATGTCCTAACGTGTCGAAATATAACACTTTTTTGAAATTAACGTGTCGAAATGTCGTGTCGTATCCCGTGTCGGTGTCGGTGCAACATAGTTCTGAACAAAGCTCGTGCTTTGCAACGAGTCTCAATATATTTTTGGATTTTTAGAATTATTTTTATTGAGTTTTTAATAATTTTTAATTTATTTTCATCTTGTAATTTTTATAAGGACAATTTTTAAATTTATTTTTTTCATTACCTATTTAAGAGGATTGTGAATTCTAATTTATTTAATTATTTTTGTATTATATAAAGATTATATTAAGTACTGTTTAGTCAATTTCGCATCCCCTTTAAACTTTTATGTGTATGACATAGCTCTAGACTCTAGAAGATGTATGCCTCATCACCTTTACATCATGAGCCTCAACTAAGAAATGCTTGGCCTTGTTTATTCTATGCCTGCCTAAACCACTATAATATTTGTTCTTTTTATAATAAGGGCATTTTCCAACCTAGGTAGGATAAGATGTATCCATCCTTATTTCCATAGAGGTTATTTTTCATGACACACTTATGAGTTTTCCCACTTAAACTACAGTTTGGTCCACAAACATAACGGATAATTTTCTAATGCAGCAATATGCAGATTAATTTTTTAATACAAAAAGAAGGACAAACAAAATTCAGTGTTGTTCTTCTACATCGTTGATGTGTGTGCAAGGCTAAAATACGTGGAATATATGGTGAATAACTATTTATGAAACTAAAGAAAAAAAATAATCTATCTTTTTGCACTTCCCAACTATCAATGTATTGAAGTTTACTCCATTTACAATTCATTCATTCTAGGATAAGTAGACAGATCTTGTATAAATTTTTAAGCACTCAAGATCCGCCTACATATCCTAATATAAATGCACTACAAATATATTGAACTTCGGTGCATTAGTAGTACTCAAAGTTTTCTCTTTCTTTAGAGTGAGGAAGATGTACTTTTATAGCCATTTGCTATTGCTTTATACAAGAAACTATTCCCCAAAACATGAATATATATATATATATATATATATATATATATATATATATATATATATATATATTTATACACAAAATTTATATAATTTAACTTGATGATTCTTGTGTGGAATAAGCAGGAAGGTAGGGAACCAGTTCCTTTAGTTCATTCAGAACCTACTTCATGCACAGAATAACAATTTGCTTTGCCTTCTGATTGAGAATTGTGATTAAATCAGAACCATGTATTTAGTCAAGACTGTGTTTTTCAATGGTTCATCTAGCAATTGCAAACATTCCTGAGGATTGGCATAAAAATAGTCTTCTTCTTTGGGTTTGTATGGAATGACAAGTCTTCTTTTGGGGCTACCCATTCTATAGGTATGAGCTTCCTTCACAGCTGTGGAAAACTCATCCCAGCTCAACAACCCATTGGAGTATTGATCTATTAGCTGTACCAGAATCCTTGTATCCAGCAGTATAGTTTTTTTGAATCCTAGAAATCTGAAGAGCAGGAAACATTATCTCAAATAATTAGATAAATAATTTAGAACTTAAAAGTACAGGAAAGGAAAAAGGTAGAAAAAATAAGTTATTAAGCTAGAGGAAGAGGTTCATTTAACCAAACAGGTTCTATTTTTTTGCCATCCAAGCACATTTGGATAGTGTTGCAGTGATAAACAAAAAAATGAAATGTACTGTAAAGACATAATGGCTTGTTAAGCTGTTAAATCATGATCATCAAATCTCCTCTTAGTATCTAATAGGATATGCCAAAAGTGAAAATAATTATGTCATACTCTTAGGACCATTATACTGTGAGCAAAAATGAAATCAATAAACTTCTTCACCACATCAAGGTACATTAGTGGCAAAATGGTAATAATACCTGCGATGGCCTTCCACAACTTTAGCCATGTTCCCATCATATGTTGGGATAAATATATCACTCTCTAGGGAGACAAGATAATCCACTGCAGCCATTTGTGATGAGTGGTTTTGGAAATACATCAAATCTGAAGGTTCCAGCAGAGTTTCCTTCCTTACCTGCTTCAGTTAGAGAAAATGTTAATTGACAATTGAGAAAATTTGCATCTAAATATATGATTTTAATTCTTTCTATTTACCAGGTTAGGAAACTCTCCAACTAAACTTGCCATCCTTTTCTCTCCACCATATATTTCTCCAGCAGCAATATAGATTTGAACATTGTGATCTATGCCTAGTGCTGTCAATATTAGAGCAGTTTCCTCAGGTGTCAAAGGGCATAAACCTTCTTTCCTCTTAAGCTCAGAATTAATGACTTTTTCCTTCCACCAAGGATAAGCATATCTAACAAATACCATATGCAAAAATTACATTGAAAGGACAACTATATAAACAAAATGAATGTCATAACACATTAGTATAAGATTTAGATCACCTCATTCTTGTGAGTTCCTCCTCCTCTCTGCTGTCACAACCATGAACACAGCCAGAGAAGGCCAACATGTCCATCTCATATCTAAGATGAAGCACAAGGAAAGGACCCCTTTCCCTCAAAATCTTTACTATCCTTCTACCAAGTTCTTCTATCTGGGAAGTAAACCTCAGAGCATTAAAATTAACTCGGCATCTTAGCTTTTGAATCTCAGTAGGTAGTCCATTATTTGCAAGTCGAGCATCGGTTCTATTTACTTGTATGACCTTGTGTTTCAGCATCAGAGGAAGAATCTATCATAACACTTAAGGACAATTAGTTGCAATAAACCCCCAAGCAAAATCTGATGAGTGCAAAAATGATGTGAACTTAACAAAGACCTGATTTTCATAGTATGAGATATTAGACCAACTAATGGGGGACAATGAGTAGGATAGTCCTTGTTCAACTCTTCTCTTGACCCTAGGTGGTAGTTGCTTTAATATTCGAACCTCATCTCTCAAGGATGTAATGAAATGATCCACGTCAAATATATCTTGAAAGTCACTGCCACATCAATGGGACAGAAATGAGGACATTTCAATCAAGAAATATGCTATAGTCCTAAAAGCACAATGTGCAAACCTTGAATCAGCCCAGAAAGAGGTTTTGTCCAGCTCTGGAACTATGAGAGTGACATTTATGTGTCTGGCAATAGCAACCATGTCACATATCTGCAGGGAAAAAAATTGAGGAATAAAAACTTTGTGAAAAACGATGTTGATTGCAGTTAAGAAAACCAAGAACAGAACTTACTGCTGCTCGCATCTGGTTGAGTCCTCCATTGCATGAAACCATAAGATAACCATTATTCTTATAAATCCCTGAAGACAAGGATTATCAAATTCAGGAGAGACATGCTAAAGAAATCACAAAATGTTGGCAGTAAGAAGAAATTGAAAGGAGAGAGGGGAAGGTTCAATCTTCAATGAGATAAAAAAAAAAAAAAAAAGGAGCTCACCATTCAAAGAAGAAAATCATGAACTTTTTAAATAGGAGGTACTCAAGATATAGTTGCATCCACAGCATACTATCATGCAAAATATTGAACTAACATTGCAAGTTACATGAGGATACAAATTTAGGAGCAGGAAACTGAGATGAGAAAGAGAAATAGTTTTTTTTTTTTTAAATGACTATATTCATATGATAGATTCCTAGTGTTCAGAAGAGAATTACAAAGAATTTTGTTCATGTACATAGTCAAGGACTTACTTTTGGGTGGGAGCACAACCTTGGCTGGAACCAAAAACTTTTCTACATCTGGAGATGCAACTGAGGGACTAAAACAATAATGCATGCCCTTTAACAAACTTGGACCCAACAATTCTCCAAGTGCAATAAGCTGAACAACACTTGTCCAAAGTACCACAGTTGTAATGGCCCTAGTCATCCACACCTTAATTCTAGGCCTTATAATCAACCTCCTATGCTTCTCAACTTTTTCAGCAGCCAAAATTTTGAGCTCCATGTCCATTACCTTACTGTCACTCTGGTTGCCTTTTGCCCATCTCAACAACATTAACTTTTTTTTTTTCCCTTTAGCTTAACTCATTAAAATCTTATAAAATTCCTTGAACTTAGTGATGCTTAATAAATATCCAGAAACCAAGACTATACCACATAAATGCTACTTCACCTTTGGATCTTCAAAGCTAAAAATAAATGATAATAAATCAAACCCATTGCACCAACGGTTATTCTAATGCCAAAAAAGTTATCCACCCACCCACCAGACAAGGTGATGCTCTACTGCACTGACTCACATCAGCATGCACCTTGAAATTCTAAAATCTCCTTGACTTCTGAACCTTAACAACTAGAACATTGATAATGTGGCTTGAAGACTCAGAGTGAAGAAAACCCAGAAAAAGAAAGTGATGGTTCCAATTGAAATTTTCTCAACTGGGTCTAATCAAGATGGTTTTTTGAGAGCATTGCTGAAAAGCAAAACACAATATAAACTAGAAAAAAAAAAAAAGAGTAGTTTACTGAGTCACAATTGTAAATTCAAATGTCAACCGTGGAAATAGGATGATAAAGAAATGAACTTGAGAACCATTAGTTAACTTGTCCGGTATGATATGAAGGAATAAGAAAAAACAAAAGCCACAGAGGAATAGGAAGTAAAGCATTTACGCTTTAAAGAAATGTGGGATCTTTGTTAACTGTAACAAACATCATTTTGTAATTTTTATTTTATTATGCACCTTCTTCTTTTTTATTAAAAAAAAAAAAAGATTAAAAGAAGTAGAATTATTACTTTGAAAATGGATTTAGAAGTCTATCTAATCCGATATAGAGATTGGATTTTGACTCTTTTTTTTGGTAGATTAGAGTTATAGGTGGTTGATCTGTTCAATCCCAAGCTAAACAAGTTTAACTTCTTCTTCTTCTTTTTTTACATATTTCAAGTTTTAACTCTTCTTAGTTTATCGATTTACTTTTCTGGTTATATTATTGGATGAGGAAATAAGATATTATTGAGTAGTTCAGTTACTTGTTGAAACTTCAACATCATCATTATACTTAAGTGTCAAAAGACTAAAATTGGTAAAAGAAAATCCATTTATCTACAAAAAAACAACTTACATACAAAGAGTAAATCATAGATACTAAAATTTAAAAGTTTAATTTGAGAGAGAGCATGAACAACCATTGACAAAAGATATGCTAAGTTATTTTAATAAATTATATAGTATTGTTCAATAACATGCGCGTTGTTTTGCAGTTTTCTTTTATTTATATTTCCAATTTTAAGCTTAACTGCCAAGTGACTCGTGGGTGATTAACTTTTTTATTTGGTTTATATATAGTGGAAAAATAACAAGTCTTACATCACATGTTAACCGTTGATGGACGGAAATCATCAATTGATATTTGCAGTGTAATTAATGATTTATTAATATTAATTAATTCGTATGACTTCTTAAATTATAATCGTTGGATGCACGTCCATCAACGATTGATATATGGTGTAAGACTTATTAGTCTTATCACTATATATATATATATATATATATGAGGAGGGTTCTTTTGACTCCAGAGTAAGACTTTTAAATCTTACTCCCTCATTGCAGCCGTTGATTTCCGTTCATCTAACGGTTATAATTTAATAAATTATAATAATTAATTAATTATTTATTTATTTCAAATAAATGATAACCGTTAGATGAACGGAAATCAACGGCTAAGATGAGCAGTAAGATATATAGGGGCAGGTTCTTCTTACAACTAGATAATTAATGATTAACAAGTCTTACAACTAGATAATATATGAGGAGTAAGACTAACAAGTTTTACATCACATCTCGATCGTTGATGGACGAAAATCATCGGTTGGTATTTGTAATGTAATTAATGATTAATTAATATTAATTAATGCGTATGACTTTCTAAATTATAACCGTTAGATGTATGAAAATCAACGCTTGAGATGCAGTGTAACACTGGTGTAAAATGATCCTGATCCACACACACACATATATATATGGGTTCGTTTTTTCTACAGTCAATGTAGATAACTTATCTACATTGAGTCCAAAACGACGTCGTTTTGGGGCGGAAATCAAGGTATTTTTGTAATTATAATTTATTTCAAGGCTATAACAGTCTTTTTTATCATAATTTTTTAATTTTTCAACTCAAAACGACGTCGTTTTGGGAGCGAATGTAGATAACTTATCTACATTCACTTTAGAAACATTAAAGCCTATATATATATATATGGAAAAAATATTTCTGCAATTTCTGCAGATAAGTTATCTGCATTTATTCTCAAAACGACGTCGTTTTGGTATTGAAATTTTAAAAAATTATAAATATAAAGACTATTATAACCCTGAAATAAATTAAAATTATAAAAATATTATGATTTCCGCCCCAAAACAACGTCGTATTAGGCTTAATGCAGATAACTTATCTGCAATAGCTCAGAAGAAGTAAATACTATATATATATATATATATATATATATATATATATATATATATATATATATAGGACGGCCTCCTCCTTGGCTTTTATTACTGACTAGCCATATATATAACTCATTGAATTGTATTTAATGTTGATGAGAATATAATACCAACCTAATGTGTTTGGTATATCAGTAGAGTTTTGTTATACTAGAATGAAAGTAGGATCTCTACATTTTACATACTTAAAAGTATTTTATTTAGTTATTTCTAAATGGTGAATAAATAGTGAAGGAGGTGGTAGATAAATTTTGAAATTCATGTAGGTAAGCTGAAACATGCAGATAACGACTTGTGGGAACAATGTGAACAAAATTAGAGTCTGCAAACAAGTGGCAGGGTGACAGTCACACATCTTCTTTTAGTTTCAAAAAGTTATGTTCCAAAGTGTACTCAGACATATAGAGATGCTGTTTTGCAACTTGCAGACGTGACAAATTCCCGTGATTACAAAATGACCCTTTCTCCGCCTAAAGCGAATGTGATATTAGTTATTTGAAATCACAGGAACGCTTCAACACTTTTTATTTTTATATTTATATTTTATAATCATAATTATATATATAGGGATAGTTCAACTTAGGCTGATATAAGAATAATAATTTTTATACTAAACTTTTTTTTTTGGTAATCAAAATTATTATATAATTCTTACATTAAATCTTAATAATTGATTTCTACGAATATAAGGGTTATAATTTATTGTGTCATATTTATTATTTATTAATTCTCAATAAATTATAATTTTTATATTCATAAAAATTAATGGTTAAGATTTGACGTAAAAGTTATTATTATTCTTATACCAGTATAAATTGATTCTATGCCTCATATATATTAAGAAACCTTACTCCTCATTTTCAATGATTAAATTTTGTTAATCTAACGGTTATAATTTATTGAGTATACTAATATTTAATTTTTTATTTCAATTTAATTACAATTATTAGATTAGACGGAGAACATTAAAGTAAATTTTTTTTATTCTTATATTAATATAAAATAATACTTTCCCAATCTTAACTATAAATCTATTTACTTTTCATCATCAACAATACCTTTATCCCAAATTAATTAGGGTAGGTGATAGATGAATCCAAATAAAAGATATGAAGAGATAAAAATAAAAATAAAAATAATATATATATATATATATATATATATATATATATATATATATATATATATAAGGGGTGTAAAAAAGAAAAGATGTAAAAGAAAAAAGAGATAAAGAAAAAGAAGGGGGAAAAAATGGAGGGGAGATAAAAAGAAAAAGGACTAAAAAAGGTATTTATTTACTTTTAACCACTTTAATTTATCAGTTATAATCATATGCGATTAGATCAACATATAAGACTAAAAATATTATCTATATATATATAATATAAAAGAAGGGTCTGTGATGTAATTTGATAAAAGTTTCAACTGAATCCAAACTTAGATAAGGTTTCGGGTTTTGTATCTTGTTATTGGTACTTGTTATTGGTACTTGGTAAATAGTCAAGGTTTTGCATGACAATTTACCGGAACAATGACAGATTGCCGGTGGCAGAGTGCAAGACTCCCAAATAGATACTAAATAAACGATGCCATAACTTTTTGGCAAAGTGGAGAAGATATCTTTTCAATTTTTAGTTTTTAAATCCATTTAACGTTTTTTTCTCCTAATAAGTTCGAGTAAGTGAGAAACTAGTGGTTGGATGGTCACGTTCGTTTATTCAAATTGATGTTTTTGCCCATCTTTCTAGTTTCGATTCAAACACAGTCACTTCAAATTTTAATCAGTTATAGCGGGTCTAATGGCCTTATCAAAGTATTAAATTTTTTCTTTTTGGACAATGAAGCATTAATAATATACATTTTAATTTTAATTTTTCACATTTCCGTTGAGTGAGAATAGCTTAGTCCATGTTCATCACAATATGTGCCCATTGAATTTCCATCAGTACGTTCCAAGAACATAGTTCATAAGCGTTTTACATTCCCTCAGAATATACGATATGTAGTTAACATTTGAATATCAAAAGAGACACATAATCCTCAGCTTTTCCCTGCATTAATTGCAGCATGCACAAAGTCTTCACACCGAGTGAACCCGCCGGACACCACCTCAGCTAGAACGCCAACTATGTCGAAGGCCTCCTGCAAATCGGTAGCAGAATTGATCTCATCAAGCCATGACAACATCTCCTTGGGGAATCCGAGCAACTCTTTCACATTCAAGAGTCGCTCTTTCATCACCACTTCCCATCCTTCCAGGTTCCCACTTTCATCTTCCCCACCTTCTGTTGTAGGTAAATCCCTTTCAGTCCTTACAGATGTTGCACTTGTTGATTTCTTGACCTTGAAGAAACGCTGTAACTGCTCAATCAAGCCCGTGTAAACAAGCATTGGACGAATGATGGACAAAAGCTCATCATTCTGCCCTGTTTTTGTTGTAGCACTTTGGTCCATACTTCCTAACTCCACGCCTTGTGCAGGAGCTGAAACAGATGATGAA